CCCCCCCACTCCTATTATTCTATGTTCTAAAAGCAGCATCTGGTTAACCTTGTCTGATCTTGAAATCTTCAGCAGGATCAGACCCAGTGAACACAGGGATGGGAGACCACCAGAAAAATCCAGTGCTTATGCTAGACTCAGGGGTGGGGTTCTCCCTTAATAGCAATAGCACTTAGACTTATATACTGCTTCACAGTGCTTTACAGCCCTCTCTAAGCGATTTTACAGAAATAAACCAGATCCTGCAGGTTTGTATCTGTCCCCCCCCCTTTTCCTAGCGGAGGCAATAAACAAAAGGTTACATTGTAGTGGATAGAGGAAGTGAAAGCAATAACCCCGCAGGCATATCCCCCCTCCCACCTTGGGAGTATGGCAGAATCCAGGGAAAGGTGAGATTTGTTTTTAGATCAGAGGAGATCGATAGAAATGAAATAGAAATGGATTCGGACACGTGGCCCGATTTCTTATGGACAACATCCACACCAATTTACATCACCCCAAAAGGTATTCAAAAAGGTATTTAAAGGCCAGTGCTCTGTCGGACGAGCAGAATTCAAAGCGCGCCGACGAGGCCTCCCAGAAATTGGTGATGAAACGTCTGCAGCCAAATGGCCGAGTTCGGAGCTCGCGCCAACAGCCCAACGACTAACCCGAGTTACTAATATTCAGATTTTATTTTTTTTTATACCGCTGAGTCCTGCTCTCCTCTCCCCTGTTACTGGTGCCCTTTTCTTCTCTCGCAAGTTCCAGGTGCTCTTCGGAAACCTCGTGGCCATGTTGTGGTTCGCCTACTTGGCGTCCGTCAAGAAGAGATGAGGGAAAAGCCGCCGGTCCGGCCCATCAGAGGAGATGGCCGTGGTTTCGATCCTGAGGTGGTGGAAGGAGGGAGCAGAGAGGAAGGTGGCTGGAAAGCCTAGTGGCCACCCCTCCTTTGCAAGTTGCCCTCTGGCTTTCATCCTCACATCTGGGGCCTGGGCAAAGGGACTTGCCCCTAATAGCCATGACTAACAAGGCCATTTTGTGCTCTTTTTTTTTCCAGATCTTTTCCAGACTTAATTGCTGGAAAGATTTTTCTGCCTTTTCTCACCCAGGCGCTTACTGGTAGTGGTGGATCTGTGGGCAGGGATCAGAACAGGCCGTAAATATATCCGTGCACAGTTTTTCTGAGCAATAAACGTAACGAGAAGAGTCTTTTGAATTTTTTTTTAAAAAAAAACCCTACAAAACGATTGTGTTGTTATTTTTTTTAATTTTTTTTGTTATTTTTTTGCATTCTCGTTTTCTGTTGAGCCAGTGTCAAGTCTGCTATACCTTCAGCTTCTTCGCTTTGCTGGCATCCTGCCATAAAATGCAGGGGAGAGGGGGGAAGGAATTGGGGGGGGGGAAGCAAAGGTTGGGCGTGGAAAGCGGAAGAGAAGCTGATGGGAACCAGAGGTGCCGAACCGGAATAAGCCAGCTGCCAAGGACACCTGGCCTGGGAGCAGAATGCGAAACTACAGCGCCAAGCAGTAAAACGGTTCCCGAAACATCAAGACGACATACTATTGGACACTGATGGACTGGTTGGGGGGGAGTTAGGGGAAGAGAAAAGGGAAAATGTGTAAACTTTGCACGGGAATCCTCGGATCTAGTCTTACTTTCACTGCAACCACTTAACCTTAGTAAAAAACAAACAAACTATCACTTCAACCAAATGGAGTTGAGGTTCTTTATTTCCTAGAGATCGAAGTTGGGGCAGGTTTATGTGGAAGATCAATTTAATTTGAAAGTAATTCAGTAGGATGACCTCTTCCCTAAAAGTGGAAACTTTTGGCCCTGAAGGTAGGCCTTCTACTGCTTCGACTGCTGCTGGACAAGTCCCCTATGCCTACATAGATAGCCCTGTCAATCAGAGATCTCTCTTGCTCACCTTACCAATCTAGAGAAGTTCATTCTCAGGCAGGTAGTCCTTCAAACAGCGATGGCTCAGGTTGTTTGGGGGGGTTGAGGATCAAGTTAATACTTTAAGTCAGGGGTCTTCCAACTTGGCCCATTTATGACTTGTGGACTTCAACTCCCAGAATTCCTCAGCCAGCGTGCCTGGCTGAGGAATTCTGGCAGTTGAAGTCCACAAGTCATCAAAGGGCAAGTTTGAAGACCCCTGCTTGTGGACTTCAACTCCCAGAATTCCTCAGCCAGGCACGCTGGCTCAGGGATTCTGGGAGTTGAAGTCCACAAGTCATAAACGGGCCAAGTTTGAATTGACCTGTGGACTTCAACTCCCAGAATTCCTCAGCCAGGCACGCTGGCTGAGGAATTCTGGGAGTTGAAGTCCACAAGTCATAAAAGGGCCAAGTTTGAATTGACTTGTGGACTTCAACTCCCAGAATGCCTCAGCCAGGTACGCTGTCTGAGGAATTCTGGGAGTTGAAGTCTACAAGTAGTAAAAGGGCCAAGTTTGAATTGACTTGTGGACTTCAACTCCCAGAATGCCTCAGCCAGGTACGCTGGCTGAGGAATTCTGGGAGTTGAAGTCCACAAGTCATAAAAGAGCCAAGTTTGAAGACCCCCTGCTTTAAGTTACGCCAATGGAACAACATGCCAGATCTTTCAAGAGGTGTAAAACTCCTCTTACTGTTTACCGATCTGGCTACCAAACTTTGCGAACACGGGTGTTGCCAGACTGCCCTCATGGGAATGTCAAGTAGACTGCACTGCAATGAGCAAGCCAGGATGTAACTAAGGCAAGGATAACTATTTGCTTGATCTGACCACCTCAGGATCAGTTGCAACCATTGCACTAAATGCCTGCGCCGATATATTCCTCAACACTATATTTTCCTAGGAAACTAGAGGTGGCGAGCGACAGCCCTGCCGATTTGTACACCTGCCATTTCAGAAGATAAATTCAACCCAGAAATAAGGAGAAATTTTCTGACAGAACCAATGGAACAGAAGTTGCCTTCAGGTGTTGTGGGAGCTCCACCACTGGAGGCTTTCAAGAAGAGACTGGACGGCCATCTGTCAGAAATGGAGTAGGGTCTCCTGCTTCGGCAGGGGGTTGGACTAGATGTCCTACAAGGTCCCTTCCAACTCTTGTTATTCTAATTCTAGAACAGCCTGACTGTCAGTCCTAGACTCTGGTTTCTGCTGACCAAGAGTGCATCTTGTACCTCAGACTTATCCATTAGTGAAGGCAGGCCCTGATGGGTAGGACTTACTCTTTCCTTACATTTGGGTGTCCTCAAGTATTGATTTTATGTAGCCACTACTCACAGAAAGGATCAGGACCACTGCAAAACTGCCCCAAGACTCCAAATCCCAGCAAGCTCTTCAGAAGGCTACCCTGTAGTAGCCTGCGCTCTTCTGCTCAGCTCTTGATGTACAATGGGTCATCCTTAATGACACCCCAAGCAGCTGTAGGCCTATATTAGTATAGTAGCATAGCAATTAAGGGCTATTGCGATGCTAGTATACTAATATAGGCCTAAAGCTGCTTGGGGGTGCCATTAAGGATGACCCATTGTACATCAAGACTTAGATACTACTTCACCTGGCTTTATAGCCCTCTCCAAGCAGTTTTACAGAGTCAACAATGGCTGAGTTGCAGTGATTAGCCAACTCTGGATTTGAATCCTCCTCCTCCTCCTCCTCCTCCTCCTCCTCCTCCTCCTCCTCCTCCCACTCCAGAAACCCAACTCCCGCACTGATTTTGTTCTAGCTGGGTCATGTAACATCTGCAAGAAAATAACCAAGGACCCCATGGGCCACCTCCTTCTCCTTCTCCTCTTCCTCTTCCTCTTCTCCTCCTCCAAGTACCCCATAGGCCTCCTCCT